TCCCTATGTCTAACTTGCCTTGTCCTCTGCATTGATACCTTCTCCCATTGCTGTTGTCCCTTCTGTGTTCATTGTGGGAGTCCCACTGGATTGTGTGCTTTGTTTCTTTTTTCCCATATGAATTTTGTCATGCATTGGTTTCAGTGAATGATAATGGTCTGGTTTTCAAATCCCTTTACGCCTGTCCCAGTTCATAGCTCTGCACCAGTTTAAGCTTTGCAGAGCCTGCTCTGACCTCGAATATTTTCTTCTCTGTGATGAAGAGGTCTGTTCTGACTATCTTGTAGACTGGTGAGTCATATGCAGCCTGGCTCCCTCTCCTTCATATGCCTTTTCATTTATCTTACTGTCACTTTCTTCAAGGTTGCTTGGAACCTGGACCCTCTCCTTACTCAAGTGGCTGAAACACTTAGTCATGTCTCTGCTTCAGTTTTGTAGTCTGGCTTACCTCCCCACCCCCTGCCACCCATCCCCTATGTTAAGGATAACTCTCTTGCCTTTGCTTTGAAACTCTCACATGTTTGCATAAGCTGCCTCTTACTGCTTCTCTCAAACTCCTCTTAGGCATTGGTACTAGCTTTTCTTTGCTGTTCCTTTTTGTGCTGCAGTCCTCCATGCGAACTGGAACTCCCTTAGCCTTTAGAGCACTTCCTTGCCTCCTGCCCTGTAAGAAGCTCACCTCTTCTACAAGCCTCATGAACAGTATCTTGGAGCAGGGACAGTAGTTTTTCCTGACAGACAACCGGCAAATGCTTGGGACTAATCAAAGTGATTTTTGCTTACCTTGGCCCATGTCTAGTTCCCTCTGCCGTGAAAGTCTTCAGCTCCTGCTTGCTCTGGTGGGCAATGGCTTCTTCCTTCAGCTTTCTTCAAAAATTATCCACTTGCAAAGTTGTTTGTTCAGTTTCTGCATGCAGGGTGGGACGTGATGTTGCCATCTCCTTCAGCTTATCGTGCTGGCCTGCTGTGCAGAAGTTATTTTATCTCAGACCACACTAAAGAGCAGAAAGTGTTGACTTTTCCTACCTACAGATGAGGTTTAAATTCCACAGCGGGATGTGTAGCCTTTAAAGACGGCCAGTGACAATTTCCTCAGAGCTGTGCACTGGGGACCCCAGAATAGGAAATGCAAATATTAACTTGGTTCTAAACAATGCACAGAATGCACTTCCAATCTAAATGTTGAAGAGCTGCTCTCCAACATTGGCCCTAAGCTACTTAGATCCTAAACCCTTCAAGGAGTGAAAAAAAAGGTTAATGCATCCATTACCCTTATGTCTAATTCAAAAAAGTGAAAGCGCTTCAAGATGAGGAAATTTGTTAAAAGGAACAACTAAAAAACCTAGAATCTCTATAGCATAATGCTCACTATTTAAAAATGTCACACTGGAGTCTTGGACTGTCATGGTTTAGGCCACTCTGGCAACTAAACTCCACACAGCCGCTTACTCACCCTCCCCCACCCCCCAGGATTGTCCAAGACATGGACTAAATACATTCTTAAAGTTGCTATAATATAAAAGGAAGGTCATTGCATAGATAAATAATTGGTCAAAATACTGGAAATAAGACAGCAGAATAAAGAGTTTTCACTGTGGAGCGAGTCACCAGTACTTTTGCAGAAATCTGTGATCTTCCACAAATTCATGAATAATTTAAGAAGCCAATAAAAAGACTTGAGGTAGCAAAGCTTACTCAGTTATTCTGAGTAGTAAAGACGAGCGAGGCAGCTGTGGAAAAGTTGTAGAAGAATCTGAAGATACTGAATGACTAGGCTATAAAATATCAAGTAGAGATCAGTGTAGGCACATACAGAATAGGAAAAAGGGACCCATATCTTACATAAGCAGTGATGCATTCAAAGGAAGTTGTAGCTGTTCCGGGATGAAATTTGGATTTATACTAGATAGCTGCTGCTATGGTCTGGTGAGCCTGGTATTTTTCTTAGTAATTGCATATTAATCTTTATAATTGCTTGCTTATATGCATCGTTTAAGCTCAATACAAACTCTCTTAGTTTAGTCATTTACAGCATAGCCTTAATTGTATAGATTGACTTTCACAGAATGGCAAAATGGCTGAGGTTGGAAGGGACCTCTGGAGGTCATCTTGTCCAACCCCCTGCTCACACAGGGCTGCCTGGAGCTGGTTGCCCAGGACCGTGTCCAGATGGCTTTTGAGTATCTCCAAGGATGGAGACTGTGCAGCCTGTCTGGGCAACCTGTGACAGGGCTCAGTCACCCTCACAGTGAAAAAGTGTTTCCTGGTGTTCACAGGGAACCTCCTGTGTTTCAGTTTGTGCCCATTGCCTCTGGTCCTGTCACTGGGCACCACTGGAAAGAGCCTGGCTTTGTTCTCTTTTCAGTCTCCCTTCAGGTATTTGTATACATGGATAAGGTCCTCCTCAAGTCTTTTCTTCCAGAAATTTCTGGGAGTTTATTGTCAACATACGTGTGATTTTAGTATGTGTCTTGAACAGTCATCATAATGACTGATGCATGCTCTTTATATGTATGCAAATTGTAAGCCAATTGATTGTGCTCAAACCTCTGACTTTGCATGATCAGTGTTTTTAAATGCACCTTTGCAGTATGTGTGTTTATGAACATCCAAATCAGAGAGTGGTTGAGATACAAGCAGGTGTTTTTTCTATCACCACTGCCTTGTAATGGTTGTGTATACACATAGTACCATCTCTTGGTCAAACTGGCAATTGCAAGTAATGTTTGCTGTGTAGAATGCACTGATGAACGCTTTGTAAACTGAACAGCTCAGGTGCTTGTATTTGCATTCCATCTGGTGAGAATTTGCAATCCTAAATTAAATACCTGAGTTTTTTCATCCAAGATCTGAGAGAAAGAAACTGAAATTGACCATTACAGAGGTCAAGACATTCAGAAGAAGTGTTGAGATTTCCTACTTGTGAATCGCTGTTCTTTCTGTCTGGAATATGGGTTTCTCGTATGTTGTTTTTCCTTCAGTCATCAATTGTTTCATCTGTTAGTTTAAATGCCATTCACATCTTGGTAAAGGCAAACCCCAAATACTGTCTGCATTACTGATGGTACTAAAGTGGTGCAGCCATTTCCGTATATTGCAATTGTAACGACACTGTCAAAAAATTGAGTTGGATTGGTTAGGCTATTTTGCTGTATGCAACCAGCAATTTGCATGTCTCAGTGCAGGCACTCTGGACTTTTAGACGTGTTGATAGGTATTTCTGAAGTGTATACATACAAGTATTTGTGTTCCTTATATTTTGGTGGTTAAAAGGTGGTTACAGTAACACTTTGGAGTAGTATTTCTTCTGTAAACTCAGCATAGCTGTATTTGGAGTTGTGCACAAAGGTCATGCTCTCTTACTGGTTGCCTAGCTTCAGTACAACATGGTCCGTTGTTAGTGCTATGTTTGGTGTCAGGAAGTGGGCAAATGGACAATCCTTCAGATGCAATGACAGGTAGCTCTACCCTATGAGTCCTCCAAAGGTATTGCCTTAAGATCCTCCAGCAAAGCAGAAAAATAGTGGGTTTTTTTTAGTCTGAACTGTAAAGGGCAAATTCAGTAACCTTTCAACTTACTTTGTCTTGCAGATTTGTTTTAAGGGTGGTTCTTTCATATGCTTTCCACATAGCTGTTGCTTACATGTTTCTGGCTCCAAAAAGAAAGAAATTTTTTACAGGAACAGTTTATCTTTGCTGGAGCTCCAGGAACAGCATTTGTTACGATATTCTTCTGAAATTCTGGGTTTGTTTTTTCCCTGAAAAATCTACCTCTTCTGTAAGTCCTTCTTACTGGTCTGTCTCTCCAGTCACAAAGTCAACTTGATACCAGGTTTATTTTTCAGACTTCTCTTATTCAAGCAATCAAAGTGTGTGAGCTCAAGCTGTCCTTTATTATAATATGTATTCTAGTCCATTATCCTGTACAGTTGCTAGCTGTGAACGTAATTTGCTCATGCATTTAACACACATTAATCATGCTTCTGATATGTACCATTGTTTGTAAAACTACAGTTGTAATATACCAGCATTCTGCTTATGCTGATTTCAACCTCTGAACTTGAGGCTGTAATATTGTTAGCATCAGTGTTAGCATGTGTAACCCCATGTCCACAAGATCCATGAAATCAACCAAGTGCATTCCCTTCTTCATTGTAAAGATTTAGTAAGAATTAACATTCACTCACTCACAATTAACCACGTCCAAACCTATACTTGTTTCTAAAATGCAACAAAAGCATGAGCATGTACAACTTGCTAGACTGGATCAGAATGGAGGCTCATCCAGTCTGATCTGGTCTCTTACAGTACACACCACCAGGTGCCTCAGAAAAGTGTGCATGAGCTTCACCCCAGCAAGTGAGGCATCATCTCATAGTTGATAATTTTCAAGACTGAGTATGTCATGATATGCAAGATTTAATAGCACTCTGAGAGCTCTTGTTCATGAGAAATATTCTTTGTAGTAGTCCCGTCCTGTCTACTGTGCAGTGTAACGTGTCATTAATGGAAATCGTAGAAACACAAGGTGCTGTAATCTCAGCTGAACTGTCTGTTTACGCTCAGGTCTCCTTCTGCACTTGATATGGCTGATGTAACACTCTGCATGATGGCTGACTAAAATGACTTTCCTACTGTGCGTTTACCAGCTGAATTTCACTGATTGTTATATTCTCTTCTGTTTTTCCTTGTTTGGGACCCTCTGAAGTTCCTCATAGTTTTTTAGTCCTCAGTAATTTAAATGGCTTTACGTCATAAGCAGTTTTTGTACTCTTTTTGCACTCACTTCTTGCATTGCTTCTTCTGAAAAGCTTCATCCAGGTCTAGGCAAGTGTCGTCACTGTTTTGTATCCACTACATCCCTGACAGGCTCATAGAAATCTAAAGGAAAAGTGATCCATAGGATCCTTGAAAGAATCCATCCTGCCTGGATATTACTGTGGTGTTATCTTTATAGTGCTTGGGGATTCTTGTTGTTTTACAGGTCCAAACATAAATCTGTAAAAATTGTTATCATCTTTATTACCTATAAAAATAGAAGCCTAAAATAGTTACATGAGCAAAAAATACATGTAAGTTTCCCTTTTATTGTATCTACAGTTCCAGCTCTGACATGGCACATCCGTGAGGTAGATGTGAATTTTCCATTTTGGTGGAATTTCTTGTTTCTTTAGAGCAACAAGAAACGCTTACACTGTGCCCCTTTTGTTTTGTCTTTTATAGTGAGCAGTACCCTCCACATTCAGTGCACAAGAGTGATAGATACTGAGTGGTAAAGCAATGCAGCTTTGATGACAGCTGAAAGAACCAAGTGGTTTGAAACTACCAACTTTGGCTATTTCTGTTTGTTTTGTTTTGTTTTGGGGTGTTTTTTTGTTTGTTTTTTTTTTTTTAATCTGTAGAAGGGTAGTAATTTAATTGACTGCCTGAATCAAGGCTCTAGAAACTTAGATCAGGAGAACAGAATGGTGGGGATAAACATTCACCATCCTGGAGACTGATTTTAATGTCTTTCAAGACCAATTCATAGTATGAATGTGTTATAGCAGCTAGTGCTCACTTGATTTTTTTGAGTGATCAGAATGCCATGAAGGCTGGGTCAGCCTCTTGGGCATGCTCAGACTTAAACTGCATATTTACAAAGAAAAATACTGATAATTAGCCATATTTTACTCCACCAACTCCCATTGACTTCTGACTAAGGGCTGTGTTAAATCCTTCCTTGGGCACTTACACATTTTTCTCTGTAATAATCATTAACTAAAGTGAACAGTTGTCTTAACGTCTAACGCA